GGACCAGCCGTGTCCGAGGTGGGCTGCAGGGAGGCTGAGCTCCAGGAGCCAGGCCTCGAGGGAGCCGGCCAGGCCAGGGCAGCAGGCGTTTGGGAAAAGGGGGACTGGGCGGTGGGCCCAGTGGGGGGCGCGTGACCCTGGGCCCTGGACGCCCAGGTCCGAGCCCCGAGTCAGAACTTCCTGCACACTGGGCGGGGGCGTCAGCTGTGCCGCTTCCCCCACTTTCCTGGGGTCCCGAGGGTGAGGCTCGTTGGGCTGTGCGGACAGGCCAGCCAGGCCGCTCCGGGCTACCTCTGCTGGCCGGGGGAGCCCTGTGCCCTCCCCCGTAGGAGGAGAGTCCAGCCCGAGGCAGATAGCCGGCGTCCACCCCGTGCTGGAGGGTCTCTGTGGAACTTTGCCAACATTTGCCCAGAACTAACGGAATCTCCGGTCGGTCGGCCGCTTCGGGCAGCCTGGCCCGCGCTGGCCTGGCCTCTGCCGGGTATGGGGCGAGCGGCTCTTGAGGAAGTGAAGGAGGCTGCGTGCAGGCTGCAGCTTGCTCTCCCCGCTGCTGTCTCAATAGGCCTCTGGGCTGGCGCAGGCTCGGCGAATGAGCGCAGGGCAGGCCTCCCCAGAGCAGGGGCGGCCAGGGGGGGCGGCCGAGGGGGGCCTGGGCCCCGTCCAGCTCGACCCACAGGCGGCCAATTGAATTCCTGCTGGCAGAAAGGAGGAACTTCTTGAGATTCCTTCCTGGACAATAGAGGAAGGTTTGCTTGAAAGGGTTTGGCGAGGGAAAGCCGGCGAGCCTTGGCGGGCAGGAAAGCGGGGAGCCCCCTCTGACTTGGGACGCCTGGAGCCCTTGAATGAGGGGGGTGGGCGCCGTCGCCCGCTGCGCCCTCTGCGGGTCCTGCAAAGGGCGTGGGAGATCCTGCCCCCTCCCGGGCTGGCTCGGATGTGCCTGTGCTCTCACCGGGGTGGGGGTGGGGTGGGGGAGGGCTGGGCCAGGCCGGCGGGGTGCAGCTGTTGCATTTCTGAGGCGGTTTCTCCGGGGCCCTCTCAGATTTCTGGCTTCCCAGGCCCGGAGCTTCCCGCCCTGACAAAGTGCTAAGTGTGATTCCGCTTGGAATTACTCACGCGTTAGAGGGGCTCTGTGTGCGCTTAAAATTCAGTGCTTGATCTCTGCCTGCGACATCGCACAGTCTGGCTGTTCATATTCTGTGTCCTCAGCTTTAGGAGGGAGCAGGGGCCTCGACCAGGGCTGGCCGGCGGAGGCCGCTCAGGGGTGCGAGGGGGGGAGCTGCGGGTTCCTGCTGCTGGGAAGGGCTTGGAGCCCTGGGAGCTGCAGCCGGGCCTGGGGGCTGTGGGGTGGGTCGGGTCTCCCCGCCCCCCAGCTTCTCTGCTGAGGCCGCCTTTGATCTCGTGAAAGAACTCTCCGCCCCTCTCTGGCCCCCAAGCCGGAGCCTCTTTGTGTGCCGGTGATGCCGAGTGAGACTTCTGAAGTTCAGTAGACCGAGTGTGTTTTTGAGGTCCATGGGCCCGCGTCCCCCGAATTGTCCAGGTTCACTGTGCCTGTCTGTCTTCGCGGGAGTCTTCCCTTTAAACAGCTTCCAAAAGAGGGGCACAGAAGCCCTGGGGGGCCCTCGCCTCGCGGGGAACCCCGGAGCCTGTCCAGCCCGGCGGGGAGCCCCGTGTTCACCCGCCCGGCCCGGCCGGCTCCAGCCTGCAGGTCTCGTTTGTCCTCCGTGCGGCTGGGCAGCCCTCGGGGCCATCGCTGGGGGACGTCGCTTCCAAGACCCGAGCCTGGACTCTGACCCCGTGCGCCCAGCACTGCCAGCACAAGCAGGAGCCCGTCCGCCAGGCCCAGGCCTGCTGGGCAGCCCCTGGGAGCGGGTGCGGGAGGCGGGTGGGCGAGGCTGGCCGGCCACAGCGTGCCGGGGCCTGAGGGCGCCTGCGAGCCTGGACCCTCCTGAGCCCGAGGCACAGCCCCGGCCCGCATGTGGGGACCCTGCCTGGGGGCGCCTGGGGCCCAGGCCCTGCCCAGCGGGGCACCGCCGCCTCCTTCAGCCGCCAGAGTGCTGCGGGTCCTGGCCTGCCCCTCTGGGGCCACTGCTGATGCCCTGTGGGCCTGGGCCTCCCTAACGTCTGATGTGGCCAGCACGGTGCGTGAGGCCGGGCTCCCCACCGTGGCACGGAGCCACAAGGCGCAAACCACCGACTGATCTGGCCAGAGGCAGCCCTGAGGTCTGGGAGGCCCCGGGGCGGGAGGGCGGGCAGCTGGTCACTGTGCCCCAGGAGGATTCCCAGCCTGGCTAAGGGCCTGGCTACCGCCCCGCGGCCTGCCTGTGCCCCTGGAGGGGGGCGCCCCTCGCCCCCCTCCCGTGCCCCAGGCTCAACTCGGGCAGAAGCAGGGCAGGGTGAGACGGGAGGGGCTGGGAGACAGCGCCAAGTGGCCGAGCTGGGCCGCGGCCCTGACACAGCTGCCCGCATGCAGCGGGCCAGACCGATGCCCCGGCTGTCCCTGCAGGGCCATCTCTGGGCCCTGGGGTGCCTGCACCGCAAGGGTGCAGAGAAGGTGGCCCCAGCGAGCTGGGCCGGGCCCGCGGCCATCTGCTGCCCCCACCTCGCCAGGTGAGGCGCTGGCCGTAGACCTGCAGGGGGGTCGCGGGCGGGGTCAGCCGGAGCCCTGCCCCCCGCCCCGACTAGACACGCCCCAGCTCGTGAGCGGAGGCCAGCAGGGCTGAGGCTGGGTGGCGGGCTCACAGGGGGATCCCGGGGAGAGTGTCCCGGTTTCCCACGCTGCTCTGCGCCCCCAGACTCACCCTGGCTGGGGGCTGCGGTCCGGGCGCCGCCTGGACACATGGGGCGCACAAGGCTGCGTGGGCGCCTGGCCAGGGTGTCCGCGGCCCCGGACACAGCGCACTGGGCACAGCTGGGGTCTCCCTCCACCCCTCCGGCGTCCTCCTCCCGAGCGGCCACACCCCTTGTCTCCCTGGGCGGCGCCTCGCTGGCCGACTCGAGGCCTGTCGCGGACCGGGGCTCTGCCGGATGGCTGCTTCGTGGAGTCCCTCGCTGGGTGGAGGCTGCAGGGCCCGGGTGGGGGGCAGAGGGTCGCCCTTTGGTCAACTGTGGGTGCCGGTGCCCGTCACTGCCCACACCAATGTCACGGCCACCACGTTGAAAGCAGCAGTCTCAGCAGCTGAGGGCAGCCGGGGCTCCCGAGGGTGACCGGCAGGAGGAGGGCGCGTGACCCCGAGGCGGGTGGTGGGCGGTGCTTGGCGAGGGCAGCCCCAAGCCAGACCCAGCTCCCCGGGATCGAGGCCCTGGGCCGGCGGACGTGAGGGGTGGGGGTGTAGGGTGGCGCCGGCCTGCTGGGCGCACTCAGGGTGCGGGGAGAGCAGGTGCCCGCGGGGAGCAGCGGTGGGGCAGGGCGGCCCGGGGTGCCGGCTCCCCAGCCCGGCCCCGGCCTGTGCCCCTGGGGCGGGGGCGCCGGCGGCCTGGGGCAGCTCACCCGAGGCCGAGAGGCATCACGCCAACGTCGCTGTGAGACTTCGGGTTCTCTCTGTCCTGAAGTGGGGTGTGAGGCGGGCCTGGTGGAGGCCACGTGGGCATTGGCCACGACTTGTAATGTGGCCGCCGCACTGGCCAGCGTGGGCCCGAGCGGAAGCGGCTGCCCGTCCAGACCAGCCGGGCGCCTGGGGGCCGGACCCCTGCGGGCAGCCCCGCGGCAGATGGGTCCCGCGGGCGGCGGGCAGCCGGCGGGCAGGGTGTTCGCACGGACCACGTTTCTGCAGTGGATGTGGGTGCTGGGCAGCCCGGCCTGCCCCGTGCTGCGGCCCTCGCCTGCCCACGGGACGGCTTGGGCACCCGCCTGGGTCCTTGGGGGGAGGGGCGGCCCGACCCCCCGGCACCTGGAAGCGATTCTGGGTCACGTGGCCGGCTGCTCTCTGCCTCCCGCCTGCCAGAAGCAGGGCCGGGGCCGCGCAGCCTCGTTGATGTAGACGCTGGAGCGATTCTGAGGAGGGAGCACAGGCCGGCACCCGGGGTTTGGCGGGAGCCCCTCGGGCCTTCGTGCTTCCCTGGCCTTGGGCGGGACCCCCCTTTGGGGAGGGAGGTCCTGGAGCCCGGCGTCTAACCTCACTGCTTGCCGGGACCCTGTGCTGAGTCGGGCGGGCGGAGGACGCGGGGTAAGGTGCCCACACCCCACGTCTGTGTGTGGGCGTCGGGGGGTCGCTGCGGCCAGGTCTGTGCGGGAGCAGGTGGCCGAGGGCACATCGGAGATGTGGGGGGTGACCCCGCCCTGGGAGTGTGGGCTCTGGGTCTCCCGCACCTCCCTCCGCATCTGGGAGGGGCCCAAGGGTGGGGAGTCCCTGATGTGCTCTTCCGGGGAGCCCAGGACACATAGGGGAACGTGAGTCTCCCTGGGGGTGGGGGAGCCTCCACGCCCTGCTGGGGCCACCAAAGCGGGCTGGAGTCTGCCCCCCGGGAGCCGAGAGGCAGGCGGGAAAGGTGTGGTCTGGGGTGCACGGGAACAGCCCGCTGGCTTCCAGCCAGCCCTGCTGGGGGCCCCCGTGGGCCTAGGGAGGGGGTGGGGCAGCAGGTCGGGCGAGGCGTGGGGAGCGAGGGGCTTGCGCACCCCCATCCTGGAGCTCAGCACTGGGCGGACCTGCTCCCCACCCTGCGTGGCGGCGGGTGCAACCCCTGGGGTCAGGAGGGCCGGCGAGGCCCCGCGCCCCCGGCAGGGGGGAGGCCGGAACAGGCTTCTGCTGAACGGGGTGCAGCTCCAGGGCTGGAGAGCAGGGTTCACTGAACGGGGTGCAGCTCCGGGGCTGGAGAGCAGGGTTCAGGGCCAGCCCCACCCTGGAACCGGGAGGGGCCTCGGGGGAGGCGGCCGGCGGTCAGGAGCAGCTCCGACGGTCTCGGACGCGGAGCTTCGAGGTCCCCTCCTGGGGCGATGGCCAGAGCCACCGGCGCGGTGGTGCTTGGTGCCCCGACGCCCCTCACGCCCCGCTCTCCCTCTGCAGCCCCTGAGGCGGCTCCTGGCTGTGCTGGCGACATGGCGGACACCCCCAGAGATGCCGGGCTGAAGCAGGCGCCCGCCCCGCGCAGCGACAAGGCCCCCGCGGACTTCGGCTACGTGGGGATCGACTCGATCCTGGAGCAGATGCGGAGGAAGGCCATGAAGCAGGGCTTCGAGTTCAACATCATGGTGGTCGGTGCGTCCCGCCCGGGCCCTCGGCGGCGTGGGGGAGGCGAGCTGGCGGCCGAACGGTCAGCGGGGCACTGCCCGTGCTCGGGGCCCGCTGGGGGCCCTGGCCCGTCAGTCCCGGGCCCTCGTGTTGAGAAATCCCGACCTTATTCGAGGAGCCCCGTTTCTTAGCTTCGAAGTGCCCACCCCAGAGCTGGTGGGGATACCGCTGACCAGCCACTGGACAGGGCGACCTCCTGGTCCCCAAACGCCTCGTGTCCCAGCATCCTTGCCGTCACCCTGTGCAGAGCCCCGCTTTGACAGCCAGCCCCAGAGGGGGTGGCGGGGTGCTCGTGGGGGTGGGCCCGTCCGCAGAACATGGCTGTTTGGGGATCGGGGTCCGGGGGTGCTTGGCTTGGCAGCACCCAGCCGCCTTTGCCCCGCCTTCCGGGGCATCTGCCCACCTGGGATTCCTCCTCCTGATCCCAGAGGGCCGGGTGCGGGGCTGGCGTCCCTGGTGGTGGGCGCTGGAGAAGGGGGCGCAGCGGGGCCGGGGTTCCTGAGCCGGCCTCTGGGAGCCCACGCCTGGGCGGCGTCGGGGTCGGATCAGCGTGATTTGATTTTGCGAGCGTGCTGGCTGGCGTGGCCTCCGGCAGCCGTGGGCGAAGCCCCAGTGGGGCCTGGCGGGGGCTGGGGCGCGTGGGGCCCCTGGGGCGCAGCCCACGCCCGGCTTGCGGAACGGATGGGGCGTTTGCGCGTGCTGAAGCGGGGCCACTTTAAGTCGCCTCAACCTGTGGCCTCTGGTCGTGGCCCAGGGAAGACCTAGAGAAGCAGGCCCGTGGCCGGCCGCAGGCGACGTCCCCGCTGTGGGGGAGGGTCTGGGGGGCCCCGTAAGGCCGGTGCCACCGCTCCGGGGCTCGGGCTGCCCGGGAGCCTGGATGGCAGCCCGGCAGGGCCCTTACGGACGAGGGGTGTCCCTGCCCCCGGTTCTGAGCCCACGGCCCCGCTGAGCAGAGCTTGCTCTTCTGTCTCCTGTGTGTCCCGTGCGGGCACAGTGGCATGAGGTGGCCAGCCCTCCTCCCCCCCCCCGGTGGGGCGCAGCCTCTCCATTCCCCCAGGGCACCCCGGCTCCTGTCCAGGGCAGTCTGACAAGCCCCAAGGGCGGGGGCCCACCGGCCAGCACTGGGCATCCCTGCCCTTTTTACCTCCGGACCCCTGGCCTCGAGCGCCCCCAGGAGAGGTCTGCGAACCCCTCTCCAGAGGCTCTGCTGCTGACGGCCCCCTTTGCTCCCCAGGGCAGAGCGGCTTGGGGAAGTCCACCCTCATCAACACCCTCTTCAAATCCAAAATCAGCCGCAAGTCGGTGCAGCCCCCCTCGGAGGAACGCATCCCCAAGACCATCGAGATCAAGTCCATCACGCATGGTGAGCGCCGGGCGGGTGACCTCCTTCCCGGGCCGCCCGGGGTGCGCGGGGGCCCTGCTCACAGTGCACCCCTTGAAGCAGTCTAGTGTTCCATTACAAATTGTGGGGGTGGCTTCCAGGAAGCTACCCCCCACCCCCACTGCATTCCGAGACCGGGCGGTGGCCCCTGGTGTCCGCACTGGTCACCGGGTGCCTGGGGGTCACCGGGTGCCTGGGGGTCGGGGCCGGGTGGGCAGGAGCACCCGCGCTCAGCGGCCCTGCGTCGTGCAGATATCGAGGAGAAGGGCGTCCGCATGAAGCTGACGGTCATCGACACGCCGGGCTTTGGGGACCACATCAACAACGAGAACTGGTGAGGGCCGGGGGCCGCGGGGCAGGCTGCCTGTGGTCCCCGGGCTGGAGCCCCGTCCTGGCCAGAGCGTCCGCGGGGCGC